TGTGGCACTCCTGATGCTTGAAGGGCTCCGGCCTTTCGACCTCACCCCCCTCCAGCACCTCCGAATCATCTGACTGGACCGCCTCAAGATCAACACTGTGCTCTTCGCCCGGAAGGACGAAACCATGCCCGCGAAGAAACGCGAGATCCTCATCGCATGCCTGAGTATGCTCCGATACACTGAAAGCTATGATGACTAATCTCTTACCTTTCCAGGGCATTGTGAGGTGAAGATCGCGGTAGGCATGTATGTAGGTGGGTGTCTCACTGATCGGAAGAAGGTGACCACTTAAGCGCTTACCGTCAACAATCTGAACAGACTCCCCATCCTGGGCCTCGACCCAGATCTCTCCTCCTACGAAGTCAGTAACCCCTATTATCCCATTGGGCAAAGGTGCGTTCCTGGAGTCTTTGTGGGGCTTGGTGCCAGTGTTAAGGTAAAGGCTAATCGTGGTAAAGGGGTGCCCGGGCATGTTGCTACGCACGAAGGATGCCAATGCTTCTGTGGAAGCCGGGAAGCCTTTGCACGCGGACCTGAGCCCGATCAGGCCTCCACCCTTCCGGTACAAGCCTGTCGAAAAGCTGCTAGGAACCCAGTTAGAGGACACCGCCGACCTAGGCGGAGTCTCATGCGGCAGCAGTTTGAAGAGAGCATGGACCTCGGCCCGAGTCGGGGCTCTCGATGAAGAAATGATGCGTGCGAACTCCTCAGCTTCAACTTGTTTCTTAACCCCCCTAGGTGCTGCCTTCGGCTGCGGTTGCCCCGAAGAGTCTGGCCCCGAAGAGTCTGGCGACGGCAACAAAGTGGAAGGAGGTGCTTCCGACTCGATCAAGCCAACCGCCTCTACCCTATCAGTAACCGCCTCTACCCTATCGGAAACCACCTGGTGCAGCCCCTGCGGCACTTCACATAAATCCTGATGCACCTCCTGCGTCGCCTCGTGGGATTCCTGCATTGGACCTGCCTCACCTGGAACGGAGCTGTGCGGCGCTGACCCAAGTCCCCCCTGCGAAGCGGAAGCAAGCACAGCATGCGCAAGCCACTCACACAACAGAGGAGGATAGGCTGCTGATGACTCGGTCGCCCAGCGGGAGCCTTCCCGGCCTGCAAGGACTTTGTCATGTTTCCCGTGCGGGCAGCGTGGCGGCAACGGCCCCACGTAGCGATCACTGGAGTCGAAGCGTGGCCAGGAAGCAAAAGGCGGAGGCTGCTCGACAAAGGCCCGTAGATTAGTGAGAAGGCGTGTGGGTTTGGAAGTGGGAGCCTCAAAGCTGCATTGAAAGAAAGCAAAAGTGATGGCCTGAGTGGAAACCTGGAGCTCACGCAGAGCTGGTAGCTGCCAGATGGAAGCCGGTAACTCGTGATCCGGCGTTGCGCCGAGATCCTCCGGGTGCTCCAGAACATACTGCCATGCAAGTTGACATGCCGTCACGGTCTGATCAAGAAAATAATTAGCCTGCTCCACCTGCTGCGCGTGCAAATTGCTTAACCATGGAAAACCTCTAGGATAAAATGCTGAACGTAGTGGCTTTGGCCCGGGGTGGCGATGCCGGACTCTGGAAAATGTCTCACAAGGAGGAGAGGCAATGAGGATCCAATCCCCTTCGCCAAGCAATTGAAAGATGTGCTGCCACAAGCCTTCCTTAGTCAAGTCATGCTCCGTGGAGCGCTGAAGATCGAACTGAAGAAGATTAGTGACATTGCCCAGTGACTGAAGGTAAGGGCCTACATCACCTTTGCGATGGGGCCCCGCGAAAATGTAGAGCACACGAAGCCCGCTCGGACTGTACAGCTGAGGCTGGTAGGCGATGTGGTCTGATGTTTCAATGGTAGAAACCGAATCATGCGATAGTCACTCCTTGGGCTTGCTGGTCTTAAGCTTATGCTCGGTCGCTGAGTGGGGCTGATAACAGCCCTTGACCCGGCACACATGCAAGCGTTCGCATGAAGGATTGGTGCAGCCCTGCGAGTTGAATGCAAAGCAAATGTCGCGGCCCTCCGGCGTGCGCCAAACCAACTGAAGGCCCTTAAGCGCCGGGTCCGAGGGGCTTTTGCCGTTCTTGCCCCCCTTGGAGTCTTTGCCCTTGCCGCCCTTGCCTGTCTTGCCTCCGTCCTTGCCATCCTTGCCCTTGCCCTTGCCTTTGTGCCACTTGCGTGGTCGCTCAATGATGGACAAGGCGAGCGGCGTCGTGAAGTAGGTCTCCTTAAGCTCCGCTGAAGAAATGACTGAAGCCAGAGCGCCTGCCAGAGTATAACCCTGATCATTGACCAGACGGAAAGCCTCCTTGCGCAACCGGTGCTCATAGGCCAAGACTACTTCCCAAGGTGGCGAAAGTGAAGGCACATCGGCTGGCTGATGAGACGTAGGCACTGAGAGCTGAGCGACCTTTTCGCCAAGGATGTAGTTCACGAAGTGGTCGAAGTCAGACAGCTTAAGATCCTGAAGCCACTGCTTGGATTTGAAGCGGGATGCCATGCATAGCCACGTGAAAGCTTCCACGCGAAGGACCTTGCGATAAGCTTCTGTAGTAGTCGGGAGCTCGCTCTTGGATTTGTGCTGAGTAATATGAATTCGCCCCGAAGCGTCAAGGCTGGACTGGATGCTCGTGGTGAGCGTGTTCTTCTTCGAAGTTATGGCATCCAAGGTTGAAGCCTGAGGCTCATTGGCTTCGCACTCCTCGCACTTGAGAGCGAGGTACTCAGACGATGGAGTCTCCGACTCTCCCAGCTGCCCGTGAACGGCCGCTACCGCCTTGAGCATTGCTTGCCTCTCTGTGACTTGCAAGATTCGCGGCTGGCCTAACACTTTCGCCTCTGCTCGTGTTTCCGTCTCTTTGCTGATTACGTCGCGTGCAAGTTCCCATGCAGCGACGACCCCCGCGATTTGTTGTCGCCCATCAGCAGCCCCATCATCAAGACCAAAGTCCGCCTTCCCAGCAGCCCGAGCTTCCGGCCGGGAATCGGCGATTGCCTGGAATCGCCTAAGTGTTGTGTGTCGTTGCACAATGCGATACTGGGCATCCAGAGACAAGCCAGCTTCTCCGAGCACAAACTGCAAATCGCTATCTGCTTTGGTTATGAGCTCGCGCTTCTCGGCATCTGTGGCGGCCATTGCGACAACAATAACTAACTCCCGCTACTCCTGATGCGAAGGCCGCGCCCCGGCCTGTGGCCCTGTAGGACTTGGATTGCTAGCCGCCCTGAGGCCTTTAGCTGCACTGCGATGTGTCCACCCGTCGCCCTGAGGCCTGTGACAGGATGCGGAATCCGCCGGCACCTCACGGCCTGCGCCGAGTGAGACTTCCTCCTGCTTGAACAGCGCCAGCACGTGCACTTCATCAGCATGAACTGTTATCGCGAAACAACTTCAAGATGCCCTGAGAAAAGTCAGCATGGACTGTTATCGTGGATCTACTTCAAGGCGCCCTTGCATAAGCAACTCATGCCAACTTCTGGCTAGGACTTGCAGGGCACAGCCTATCCACAGCAGTCGAAAGCATCTTTTGCCTTCACATCGACTCGCTCCCACTGTCACTGCTGGAGGGGTCTGACTCCTCCTCTCCGGCCTGAGCCTTCATTCTTGCTTTGCAATCTTTGCAAATGTTATCGACGTCCTCCGCGCCGACATGACTGACAAATTTCACATCATAACAATTCTCAGGCTTGACATAGCAGCCCAACATGTGCAGACGCCTCAGGCCTGTGGTGCGAGAGGTAACGATGAAGTAATCCCCCCGGCTGCCTGGCATCGAAACCTGCTCGACTGGAGAAGGTGGTGCCGCAACACCCACTTCCAATGCCAGAGTTGGCCACGACCCGCCCAAGCCTTTGGATCCCTCGAGGAGGGTGTGACGGCGACGAACCTGAGATTCGCTCTCCCCCGCCTTAGCTGCATAATCCGTCAAAGCCTTGATGGAATCCACCTCGATGTAGTGCTTTGGCTGTCCGGTGACAAGGGAACAAGCAATGTGACTCTGGAGACGATGCACAACCTGCCTAGAAGTGCGAATGTAGGTTGCAGAACCTTCGCCACCTACCTTCCAGCGACCCAGATAATCAAGCTCCCTGGGGTCGACATCGATGGCCGCTCCGACCGAGCTAAGGAAGTTCCTCGCAGAATGTCCCGTAAAATGACTGGAAGTGTATCCCGGGAGCAGCGGACGCTGATCATTGGCCTTCCATGTGCGCCCCTCACGCTTGGGCGTTTTCAACTCACTGAGAACTTTGCGGAAGTAAAGGGCCACCGTGGAGGAAGGCACCGACTTCTCCAGGGGTTCCGTGAAACCTTCATTGGCCTTCAGAACCAGATAATCCCTCTCAAAATCGAAATCCTTCCAAAGTGCATATCCGACCTTAAGCCAATCATGCCCTGTCAGAGAGATACTCCGTTCCACGAAGACCTTGACGGTGTGGGTCCTTTTGTCGGGCCCTGTAGTCTTGGACCGCGCGAGATCAATGCTAAGCCCTCGCTCGTCCAGAAGCATGGTCTGCGGCAAGAGCCCCTGAACATCATCAGCCCGAAGCGATCCCCATACCATCAATAAGCAGACAAAGCCCAATGCTCTCAAGTAACTAGGCTCCCCGGGCGTGCAAACGAAGATCTCACATGCAAGAACGATAGCAACAGTGAGCATGCTGGCTGGCTGCTCCGGCGGTGCCGCCGAAACCAAATCGGCCGTGTAACTTTTGAGCTGCGCCTGCCATGTGGGATCCTGAGATATCTGCTGCGTAGACGGCACGCGCCCTACACCTTCAATTACACTGAGAGAGGCTTGCAGGCTTTCGAGAACTGTCTTTCCACATCCTTCCTGGAATCGTTCATTGGCATAATCTAGCACATCAGCTACCCCTTCCGGATAGCTCCTGCCACGGCTATAAAGCAACCATTCCCGAAACTTGTCCCAAGCTCTAAAGCGATTTCTCAATGTCTTGGATCGACGGGTCCCGAACAGCCGTGGCCAGGCTTCCTCGGCATTGCTGACCCCTGCAAGCACCTTGCACACCGGCAGTTGCGCCTCCTGCATGATGGCTGCAAGACGCAATGCATACTCCTGCCGAAGCCGTATCTCCTCAGTGGCCCTGGCACCGCGATCTACGACCCTATCAGTAGCTAACTTCCGCTTGCGAAGAACCGGAAGCAACGCAAGTGGACTCTGAAGTGCAATCTGATTGTAATGCTCATGCAAGCTAAGGCCAGTTCCCGGGACACTGGGCAAGCACTCTGTCAAGCGCCTCCTTGATTCCCTGCGCCCACTCGCAACTGTGCGAGCATTGTCTGCATGCCATTCAAGAAGTGCATCCGCAATCAACTGCAGGCTACTTTCAAGAAGCGTGTTATCGCAAGCCCTAAGCAATGATACAAGCTCTTCCCTCGTGTCGAATGAGGCATGCAATTTTTCAGGCGTGCTAAACCACTCTTCAAGGCGGTTGCGGTATGGTGGCACTAAAGCGGGCCATCCGAGTCCTGTGCCACTCATGGCCGACCATGGGCCGCAGGGCCACCCTTCTACCGCTTTCGTAGTCCTAAAGTATGGAGCTACCGTGAAGCTAAACTGTCCAGTCATGCGTCACAACGATGCTTGTGAATGCTAGCCCCATACAATCAAAATTTTTCCCTGCTCCTGAGCCTGAGCTCTGCGTCCATGATAAGCATTGAGATTGTGCGCGCACTCAGCTTCTGGCTCCATTCTGAAAAGCGCACGATACGTAAATAAAATAGAAACTCAAAACTGCTCAATAAAACTTTTCTCTTTGAAACTGCGGAGATCTTCGAGTTGGTCCAGTCGAGGGAACTCCTCCTACCCACAGAGACACCCCGCCCCGCCCACCCAAAACGTTTACTCTAAACAGCGCCGCCGGGCAAGCCCGGCAGGGCCTGTCGGCCTCGGTGCTGCAAAAGGCAGCCGTTGGCCAGAGCTCACCTTCGAAAGGCAGGATGCCAAACTCGCCCACAGGAGACCACAGCATGCTTGGTCCAATGCCGATGGCGAGCATCTTCTGCAAAGCCTGCCTCGCACCAAGGAGGTAGGCCTGTCGCTTCTCCACAATGAAATTCACAAGAAGACCCATGGCCCTCGCCACTTTTGCATCTCTAGCGCCCCCTGGCGCCCCGGATGCACCCCAGTTGCTGCTTCCCAAGCAGCATTGTTTCCAAGATTTGTGCCTCGCTTCCAAAGGGGAAGCTTCGCCTTGCTGGCCAGACCAGCTCCATGGTGCTAAGGGCCCGCAAGCCCAAGGCCTGAGGGGTAGACTCAAGCCGTCGTTGTCATCCTTGTGTAGTTGAGCTGTCATAGCTCTGAGTCGCCTTCGCATATCAGAAGAAAAGGTGGCCACGCCACCAGAGGAAGGAGCCATTGCCTGCCCCCTCCCACGCACAGCAGTTTTAGCCGGCTCTACCCAGCCGTTGCCCGTTTTGGAGCGCTTGGAGCTAACTGCAAGCCAAAACTGTTCTCCGTATTGAGTTGTGTCACGACAAGAGCCCTTGCACCTACCGTGGAGAGCAGGCGCTCAGGTCCCTCGCCGCTGCAGGTTCGTGTCGTCTCGGTGTCCATTCGTCACTGTGCAACGAAAGGCTCGGCTGTACAAGAAGCGAGAGCTGCTACTGGCCTTGCTACTTTCACATTCCCCCATGCGAGACTGCAAAGCGAAGCAAGAAGCGTTAGCGGGGAGACTACAAGAGCCAGGTGTCTCAAGAAGACAGAGGCTGCTACGACGAAGAGTCCTCGGCACCATGCTTTAGCATGTGTAACCAAGTTGACTCAAGTCAGAAAGCTACAAGGCTACGGTCACGTTAAGGCTACGCTTGTGCGACGTACACTTCAGAAACTACGCTCGTTCTCAGTGGGACTTGCCGTAGGAACTCAGCTCCAGGAGACCGCGACTCAGCGGCCCAAGCGCAGCAGCCACAGCGCAGCAGCCACAGCAGCCACCGTGAGGCCTCGACGAGGTAGTGCAGGAGAGTGCTTCAAAGCCCGAAGCCGCAAAGAGAGCCCTGCTTAGAGGAGCAGGTCCAGGCAGGGTTGCGTCAAGTTTTAGCGCAGACCAGGGGTCTACGCTCCATTTTGCCTTAGCACGAAGAAGATCAGCAGGCTGCAGGGGCCTCGCCACATTCCCGTGAGAGGCACCGGACGGTGCACAAGCGCAAGAAGGGGGAACCACCGATTAGCCTACTAGGAACGTGAAAGTACGGTCAAGAAGGGAGGCCAGCACTGTTATAGGGCAGTACCGCTGAGGGCATCGCAGAGCAGGCTCTTTCGAAAACCTGGGTGAGGCCTAAACCCAACACAAGACCCACATACTAGGGAGGGACATGGAAAGCGGCTAAGCCCAGCTCCAAGCATCTGGGAACGAGAATCCATCGGGAGCTCGCTCAGGCTTTAAGAGGGGCCTAAGCCAAACACTAGGGACCACAGAGGGAGGTGGGACGGCGAGGCACAGCACCCACTACGCTCGGAGGGCTCAGCACGAAGCCTCAAAGGGTGAGGAGCTTGCAGGAGCTCGCCCGGGCATTCAGGTGGGTGGGCCTAAACCAACACTAGGGAAACCACACTTAGGGGGAGCGGGCGAGCAGGCTCGTGCAGAGTAAGGGCCACGCCAACTGCACAACTAATGGGAAGGAGAGGCCTAAACCCGAGCAAACCCGAAGAGGGGGGTTTGCAGGAGTGCACACGGTCCTTAAGGGGGTGGGCCTAAACCAACACTAGGGAACCACACGCAAGGGGGGTGGGCTAGGCGATTTGGCACACGACGGCGATGGGTGGGTGCAGCTTTGCAGCGCACACCGATGGAGAAGGCCTAAACAAAAACTGAAAGACACCCGCCTTAGGGAGGGGAAACCGAAAGTTTAAGGTGATCGTACAGAAGGGCAGAGGACGCAGCTGCCGCCGAGATGGCAGCAACTTCCCATCGCTCAGCTTCTTCAAAGCGACGATGCCACGCCACTCGAGAGGAGCCATGAGCTCGTGAGTCACGTCTTTGGTTGGCTGCCCGGTCTGCCTTGTCGTTCAAATCACGGCACCGGCGATCATCTAGATCAAGAGGCGGTTGCCAGTCGAGTCGCTTGTTGTGCGAAGGGACCCACACCAAGTGTACTGCTTTGTAGTCCCTACGGAGTGCCCGTAAAAGGGAAGCCGACTCCTCTGCCAGGCACCGAAGCTTGCTGGTGGCGGGGCTCTGGACCGAATCCAAAGCACTTTGGCAGTCGACCAGGATTGTCACAGTGGAGTTGTTGTACCGCTGTCCAAGCGGAAGACCCTGCAGGAGGGCATTCAAACCGATCATCTCGTAGCGGAAAGGAGATTGGTCTTCCGCGTCATCACCTGCGGAGAAATAGTCTCCTGAACTCTCCGTCACCACTGCACAAGCGCCCACTCCAAGGTGATGGCTTCCATCACTGGCAACGAGAAGGTTATCAGCATCTGGTGTCAGGACCTGGCAAAAGTGAGTCCGCAAAGCCTGTATCATGGCCGGGACCTGATTGCCAACAGGGGCAGCCGGATATTCCGGCAGGGGGGCTCCAAAAAGCCTTTCTTCGACTCTGTTCGTAGGGGCCTGAAGGCCGTGCCTGTGCATAACCGTCTTTGGGCATGCCCAAGTAACGTGGGCACGCGAAGGCAAAGAGAGATTGCACAAGCATTTGACTTCAGAGGCCCGCAAAGGGGGAAGACGCTGACGGTGGTACCAGGCCGAGCCGCCTGTAGCCAGAGAAGCACGACGAACATCCAATGACTGACTTTTCCCGAGGAGCCTATGGCCAGCCAGTGCAAAGCGGATGCTCGGGTTCGGTGCATCAAGGTTGAGGCCAGTAGCGAGGCCTGCCTCGTCACGGTGGTAAGAGGTTTTGACACGCCCACAACTTGCGATGCCACGTTTGCGGTGTTCTTCAGTGAGCCAGTCACGCAAAACATGGATGTTCTGCCAGCCAAAACAAAAACGTCGTGTCTGCCCGGCATCATCTACTCTGGAGACGGCGGCGCCATTCATCTCAAGCTGCCAGCCTAGATCAGCTACGGTGCTGACGGCATGGGGAAGGACAGCCTGCACACGGTTTCCACTGTGAGCTGAACCTCCTGTCACGTGTCTCCACACAGCACTCAAAGCCCGCCATTGCAAGAGCCACTTGGGGTCCCACTGCCACCCGTGGACTTCAGCAAGGAGAACCCACGGAGTCTCGCCTGCGATCTGAGGTTGAAGGGCTCGGTGGGTGGACTTCCGGATGGCAGTGAGATCTTTCGCCTCCGGGGCCGCAACACCGGCAGCCCATGCCAGAGCAGCAAAGACCAAGCTGGAACACACGACCCTTGCAACGTGGAAGGAGGGGCTCAGGATGTTTAGGGCGCGAAGGCGAGCCAGAAGGGTATCAACACTTAACTTAAGTAAGCCAGTTTTCCCACTGTCAAGCTCAACGGTGAGGCCTAGGATTTCTAAGCGGTGACGGGTCGGATATCCTAACTGTGCCGCTAGAGCGTGCAGCCGGGGGCGGGCCTTAGGCTCGACAATCGCGCACTTTGAAGGACGGCAGGTAAAATTCATGACCTTATCAAAGAAATTACTTCGCGTCACCCCATCGGTGAGGGCTGCTTCCACGTCCCTGGCTCCTGGCGGCGCCCATAGAAGCCTATCATCCACAAAGATGAGTGCTTTGGTAGGACCTCGGGTGACGTATGCATGCCAAACGTTGCCGATCAGAAGGGCGCACAGGGGAGAAAGAGGGCACCCCTGCAGAAGACCTTTGGATGACGTCCGCCACCTTTCATTGGTGACCTTAGAGACTTTAAACAATCTCTGAGAGTCGCTGTAGAAGGAGGCCAGCAGCCTGCCCAGGCATGGCGGGGCCCGCATGTGATCAAGGATAGTCAACAAATGGGGAAGCCTGATGCTGTCAAAATACGCGGACAAATCCTGCTGTATGTAGGCTTTGGCACCCTGATGCCAGCTCTGCAAGATGACGCCATGTGCGTCAGCGGTGCCTTTGCCTGGAGCTCCTCCAGCAGCCTGGGGCGAGCACCACGATGCAATCCACGCTTGCATACGCCTGCACAGGATGCGGGCGCCCGCTCGCCAAAGGAAAGAGGTCAGCGCGATGGGACGATACTCGGTATGCGTTTTAGGGAGAAGTATTACGACGGCACGTCTCCACAAAAGTGGGACTTGCCCACTGGAGAGCACCCGCGTCCAGAGTCGTCCCAAGGAGTCCCACCACTCAGATGGCATGTGCAAGATTTCGGGGCCCCATTGGTCGGGGCCGACGGCCTTGTGGGACATTCTTTTGACCGCGTCAAACAGGTCCCGCCCGCTGATTGAGAGCTCAACTGAAGCCTGAGTCGGCCTGGGGAGGGCGCTCAAGATGTCTGCCAAATCATCCTGGTTGACAGGCTCAGAATCGCAAGACCACTTATTCATCCACACACTGCTCTGAGTCCTGACGACAGAAGTGGGGTGGATGTCAGCGGGAGCTTTGGCCAACTCACAGGGCGGG